AGAAACGCGATCAAGGCTCATCTTCTTATTCTAGGCGTGAAACTGCACGCTTTGATTTTTGTTGACAACGGCTATGCGTGGCTTAACATACGTCACACACTCCGTTGCTCTTATTGGTTGTAGGTCTATCCAATTGAGTGCAGAGGCATTTTTTTTCCTGGTTCGTTCGAAACACGCCCCATAATCACAGCTCTATGGAGCAGTATCAGACTCATATTCTGACTAGAATTGACTACGTCAGGCTACTAATCTAGGCCTTAACTGAACTCAATTCGTTTAGCACCAGCTTACAGTTAAAGTTAAGGTACCTAACGCAAAACGAAGCAGGTCCAAGATCACTTGTAGTTATTTCAGAATCCATTTTTGTCTATTTTCGGTATTTCCAGTGTGGTTCTATCTATAGTCAGATTCAAATACAGTTATAAAGTCAAAAGAAAATGTCCATTAACTTCTTACTATAACTCATCCATATTAATATCACAGCTTTCATGATTCACGTGTATCAGTTTCTTTCCCACACATCAATTCTGTTAATTTCGCATCTCTTTATTCTGTCTCCCACCACAGACCATCATGTCATCTGCATACAGTTGAACAAATATGTGTTTACTTCTGTTGTCTTTCCTGAGATATTCTTACTTCTATGTTTTTTGATTAGCAGTGCCATTATCAATAAACACTACACTGCAAAAACAATATAGAAATAAGTCAACATTTCTTAAATTAAGTTTATTTACCTTTAATTTGTGCAGGAAAATACAATAATTTGCCAATGGAATGAGTACATTCACTCTTAAAATGAGATAATTAGATATAATGCACTTCAAATTAGACATTGCAGTTGTTTTTCTTATTGTAAATGTAAATTGTCTTGTTCCATGTGCAAAGTGTCTCACCTCCTCAATTCAAGAGAAAATGCCCTTATTTTAAGTAAAATAAGTAAATTAAGTATTTGGATTTAAATTTTTGCAGTGTTACCACGGTGAAAAATGTATATCTTTCCTGGTGAGTATTTCAGCCTGGCTATAGCATAACAGTACATCACACAGCACATACACGTAATTGTTATTTCAGAGGTCAAACTAAAGGCACTTCTATCTTATGTATTATGTATGTGATTTTTAAATTTGCCTGCAAAGAGTTCACCTACAGAAATTCCCTGGAACATTTTCACAGAGCAAACTTCAACTGCAGAAATAAGGTTTAAAAATAAAAGTGGTTTAATGCAACAGAAAGATATTACCTGCAATATTGTTAACCATCAGATTCACTTCTGGCAAAAAGTTTAAAAGCTGGATCTGGTTATCCAAAGTTGACGGCAGTGAAAACGAGAGTGTTTCCCTGTGTGTGCATAGTGGCTACTGAGTAATTACAGTGCTATCAGAATTCCAGGATAATACAAATAAACTCATCTTGCTTTACCTTTATAATCATTAAAGTATTAATTATCTTGTAATCATTTTATCCCTTTTAAATTGTCGCTTTTTATGGCTTTAATAGCTGATTTATAATGTGCATCAGTCTGGGTTTAGTTCTACACATTATCAATCTGGATTTGCTCTCATTGAATCTGTTCAGGCAAAGGAGGAACATTCAGCAGACACTTAGCTGACTGCGTGGAGCGACAGCTAGTGCCCGCATAGCAAAATTTGGTTCTGGCCAATCACAGTTACCCCCCCCAAAAAAATGGCTTAAGCAAATAGTCACCAAGAGAAACTACAACAACCTACGTTTATATTTCTTTAGCTGTTCCTCTTTCAAAGATACATTTGCAGATATAACAAAATGCCAGGTACTAATGAAGCCAGTTTAGTTTCATTATCTTTGTCTGTATCTTTTCATTTGCTTTGGCTAGAGTTATTAGAACATCAACAGATTTGAAGACCAATTTTTACTGCTGACATTTTGACTTGCAAACAAAGTGAAAAGCATGCCTTGCTTTACAGATCTGCACAGAATAATTTTGCAGACTTATAATAAAACTCTGATACCAATGAGACTTTATTGCTCCCATAATGTTTCACACAGGTGGCCAATTTAGATTTATAATCAGTCTACAACTTTGATGGGCTGTTAAGTTGATTATCTAAACGCCTTGCAGCACATAGATCAACATTTCTTAAATTAGATAGTTTAACAGGTTTATTTCGATGTTGTCCTGTTTTGTTCTACTTAAAATCAAGGACTCTCTAATAGAAGCCCAATCCCTTAATCTGGATGTGGAAATTAAGATTGTTTATTTTAAGTACGGGGCCAATTTTCTATTGTAACTTCTGCCTCTGGCTGGCTAAGTTGGCTGTTATTTTTATTTTTGTGTCATATAAAGCAGCTTTTTTATGGATTAACAGTGAATGCTGATCCAAATGTAAAGATAACTCTCCACCAGCTGTAGGGAGATGTTTCAGTCCTGACACTTTTAACCAAAATAACCATCCTAGGAGCCCTACTACTGGCAGAGTTTTATTTTACAACCCCGAACACCTGCAGCTAGTTGTAGCACATCTCTAAGGCCTGACAACAGCTGGTGCAACACGCCACCCAACCATTTATTTTACAAATGTCAAATCTGAACACCCGGCTTCTGCAGCAAATCTCACTCTTATCTAAAATGACACTCTTGACTTATTTTGAGGTTTTCGAAGGTGCTACAATGAGCATGGATCGACAGCAGCTAGAAGCTATGAACACTTTAAATAGTATATAGAAATATACAGCGCCTTGCAAAAGTATTCGGCCCCCTTGAACTTTTCAACCTTTTCCACATTTAAGGATATAAAATTGTAATTCTTTGTGAAGAATCAACAAGTGGGACACAGTCATGACATGGATCAAATCACAGACCAGGTGCATTTAAGACACTTCCCTCTGGCTGCAGTCCATCAGTACCAAAACCTCACGCAACAAAAACAGCTTTTTCCATCCACTACCAGCATTATCAACAAGGCCCAGAGACCCTAATACAGGGAGCCAAAACATCTCGCCTGGCCAACCAGACCAACAACACCCCTAACGACCCCCCTTACAGAGGCATAGACCAGTATCGGGTATTTCAGGCTAACAAAGAACCCAAACGACTCCCTATTTGCATGTTTCCTAAGGCAAAACAAGGCTTTGTTGGGCTACTCTATAAAGCTTCGACCTCAACGCTAATTCTGACATTTTAAATTGAAAAAGCTTCTTGGATAGGAAGCGAAACATCTTCAAGCTTGGAAAGAAAGTCCAGTGGATTGTTATTTTTTTTACTTTTTTTGTAAGGCCCAGAGACCACTGTGACACAACCTCTCCATCTCCCACATTCAGGACCTAGAGGCTACACCAACGTAGCATCTCCAGACCTCTTGTCTTACAGTAACGCACACTCTGCTGTGTACAAAGTATATAGCTGTGTAATATATATTGTATATAGTATATTGTATGTTTTGCATTGTATATAGCAATAGATTCTTTACATATATCGTATTTGTCTGCACTAGCACCAAGTCAAATTCCTTGTAAGTGTAAACTTACTTGGCAATAAACTTGATTCTGATTTACACTTGATTACACACAGGTGGATTCTATATATTACTATCAGTCATTTAGATCATTTTGGTGAGTATTTAGTCAGCCACTGATTGTGAAGTTTTCCTGTTGAGAAAGATGACAGGACTCTGTAGGAATTATCATAGGTGCAATTTAACTAGACACAGAATAAAAAAAAAAAAAAAAAAATCAAGAAATCATACTATATGATAAAAAAAAAATTATATATATATATATATATATATATATATATATATATATATATATATATATATATATATATATATATATTAAAACAGTGGTAGGAATTAAGGTATTTGGTCAAATAAGTCAAAGGTCTCCTCTAGGACTTTACAAGTATTGGTCACGCCATGCAGATCTCATCTAGAGCAGTGATGCTATGGGGGTGTCCACATGGACTTTCTATGGGTTTGAGGTCTGGAGATTGGTCAGACAACTCCTGGACCTCAAAACACTTTTGAAAAGCATGATGTTTCTACCGCCATGCTTCAGGTATGGTGTTCTAGGGGCTGCAACTCAGCATTCTTCTGATATTCAAAAACAACTCAAATTATAAGACCTAAACGAGTTGGGTCAAGCTGGGAGATCAGGGAATAATAAGGGAAATACCTTAGGCTGCTTATGCTTAAAAACAATTTTACAATAAAAAAGTGAGTTAAAAGGGATATAAAATAGCCTCTAAAATTAAGGCGCTGTGTGCTTTGTCTAATAGAAAGGACACTTATGTGCTGCACAACTTAAGGACACCAAACCTGCAAAGGGAGAAAGGTATTTGCCTTTATCTGTAAGATTTAATTAACTAAAAAAATTTGATATTTTAGAATAGTTTAGTTTCCCCCCCTTCATGGATGAAACCATCATTTGGAAGCAGAATTTCTTTTGATTCAGGTTATTTTTGTCTGATATAAAATTTGCTTCACAATCTTTAATTTAAATATTATAAAAAGACCAGAAGAGATTTTGGATGTCATGTTTAAATGGCACCAATGCTAATAAAAAAAAGAGGTTCAACATAAATGAATTAAACATCTGATAATAATAGTTGCCCGTCTAAACTTCTGCTAGTTGATTTCAAACTTTAGGACTAAACCAAACTAGTTTACTAATCATGTGATTCACTTTGTCCCTCAGAAAGACAGAATTCAGTATGGATAGGAAGCCAATTTCTTCATTAGATCAACGAGTGGCAGCTCAGATTGGTAAATCTGCAAAGCACCTGCATTGATTTAATTTGCCAATTGCCAGATGGAGGCCATTTATCACCACTTTTAAGCTTTCCTAAACTTCTCAGCGAGACGTAATAAGATTTCGGAGCAATCTGTCGCCACCTCTCATTAGAACGCTAAAGAGATCCCCCAAAGCTTAATTATTCATCTGCATTAATATCCTTTCAGTTATTAGCGATAAGGTAAGTGTGTATGTGTGTGTGTGAGGGCCAAAGATCAGCCTGGCGTTACCTCAGCCTCCCTCCTGATTAATGGATGAGGGAGAGGAGCTGTTCATGTATTATTACTGCAGAGAGCCAGGACCTTGGAGAGAGATACAGACAGAGGGGGACAAAGAAAGAGAAGGAGCAAACCCAGTGAATAATAATTGCTGTTTGGTATGCATACATGTCCTCTACACATTGCTGGCATTTTAATATCATTTACGTGCAAAACCAAAATGTCCCTCACCTAAAAGTGGAATGGATTTAATCTAGCTTGTCATCTTTGAACACAAAACTATTTCAAAATGACACGTTAAAGATAAATCAGGTGAAATCAATATTTGAAACAAAATCTCATAAGATTCCACTTTTTTATTGGCATTTTAGTTGATTTAGAGCACTCTGGCATTAGAGCACTATGGCATTTAAAACCAACAGTTATTTTTTTGTCCCTTTATTCGAAATAAAGGTTTTTATTGGCCTCAAATTAATTGATGAGCGAGAAAAAATATAAACTACTCACCAGGGGCCATCTATAATGTTGGATTGCTTTTAGTTTGCCTTTTTACAACAGTTTAATCTGTTCTAGCCTGCCTCCTAGTGGCCATATAAGTAAGTGCACTGCTTTTAAATAAATACCATTTTAAAAAAGCAGTTTTTTGTTTGTTTGTTTTTTAAGAAAAAAAATCATGATCAGTTGTAGTTCACGTAATTATAAGCAAATATTTATAAAATCCAATTCAAAAACCATCAATGTTATCAGACAGATTTTTACAACAATTTGATTATTTGGATACTTTCTAGTTTTAACTTTAGAAGAGCGGAAAGTAAAATAACTAAGAGATACTGACAGCTAATGTGCAGCTACAATGGAGTGCAGCAATAGTACTAGAGGTTCCTTGCTTCTTGCAATTTGTTGCAGAGTAAATGCATTCATTTCAAATGTAATACTATAAATGACATATAGCATAAATGACTGAAAGCTATTGAATCCATAAAAACCCAGCATGATGACAGATTAATGAGCTTCATATTCAGTCTATTAACTATATTCACATCTAGAGGCTAAATCAGCAGTAGATACTGCCAACTCCACACCAACTGGTGTGGTTGCTTTTTAAGTTCCTTTTCCATTACAGTACAGTAGATTCATCTCAAATTTAGAAAACAACGTTTGACTATCGTAATTCAGTAGAGAAAAACAGCCCTCATTAGGAAATGAACATTTTTAACAAAACGTTAATCACTGCTGCCACAATAATCTGCTGTTAAAAAAATGTAAATGCAGTAATTCTTTTACTTATATTCATTACTCAGTCATTAGACGGAAAATGAACTTCTTGCGGAAATGTGTAACAACTGAATCCCTATTTTGTTATCTAAGGCTGAAATTCGACCACATTTAAACCCTGAGAGTGAAAAGCTGCACTCCAAGAATGAATTGGTTAGAGAAAAAATAAACTATTTGGTTAAACCAATTTTGGTCAGATTATCCAAACCAAGCCATTGGTTACGGATCAATCAATTTAACTGGTTAACCAAATAACAATTAACAATAAAAATGGTAACAGATGGTTTACTAATCTGACTGTTTGGCTGTAGTGTGTAACAGTTATGGACCTAGAGAACAATTACAGTGATGCATTCATGTACTGCATGCAAATCTTGGCTTTGACCTTAGTTGCAGGATTAGTATTAACTATTAGTAAATTCCAAGACGCATTAGCAGCGACATTCATGTTGGATGCAGAGGTTCGCCATAAAACCAAAGGGTTGGTGGTTCAAGCTTGGTCCCTGTTTTCAATGTTTTTACACTAATTTACTGATAATTTGGTCAAAGTGACCAATCTGTATCAATTTTTCCTTTTACCAAACATTACACAATGATTGGTGTAGTGTTGCTAGTTTTTCTTTCTTTTTCTTTTTTTTGAGTTTTTATGGCACTAGTGGCTCGTTTTTTCGACAGTCGCCTTAAAGGAAAGGGGGTATGAGAGAGGGGAAGAGACATGCGGCAAAGGACCACAGGTCAGATTCAAACCCGGGACGGCCGCATCGAGGACTAAGGCCTTCCCACATGGGTTGTGTGCCCTAACCACTACACCACCTGCACGCCCGAGATGGGTAGTTTAAACCAAAGGATGGGTTGGACACATAACTACCAACCAGGTTTGTGAAATTCAACAATTTTTTTTTGGTTGTACTAAGCAACCTGGTTTTAGGGTGTGGAAGAATGCCGCGGTTTATGGTGGTACCACCTCCAGAGGGGACGGTCACCAGTTCTCCATTAGAAGAGTGTAGCAGGGCGTTTTAGTTATAAAGATCCTTTTTTAGCACTGTATTCCTTCCTCTAAAAGAAATATTTAACTTCTGTTGATGCCATGTCTTCACTCTCATGCCTTTCTGATGGTTTACGCTTTTTACTACTTTCCATTTGGAACAAATTGCACTGATAGACCCTTAATTCTTAATTCTCATCTCACCACAATACAAGATTTTAGATCTTAGTGAGGTTTCATCTGTTTAAATAAAGGCTATCATCATATGATGCGAGTTATTTGTTCTTAGTCTTGTCTGTTAAGGGATAGGCTGTGGTTTATGTTTAGTCCATTTACTGCTGCAAATTATTATATTTTATTTATTGAAACAGGAAAGTCCTTTCAAGTTTAAAAAACATTTTTAAATAAAGTTGACTGCTCCCTTTATGCTTTGCTTTTTGTTAATTTTAGCAAAAAGCATAAAGGGTTACGCCCCAAAACATTGTTTGCATGATTTAAGATTTTATTTAAGATTTATTAGCTCAGTTATAACAGTGAATAAAATTATTGTAAACAAATTCACTGAAGAAGCAACTGTAACACTGATTTTACCTGCTAAAATGGATTTGTGGAGCATCTTTAAGTTGAAATTGTAATCAGTAGAAATCAGAATCTACTTGGCATCAGAACATGTAGCAGTTACAGTCTGGTCTTTCTGAACTAAACCAGCTCATATTTGCAAAAATTCTTGTTCACCTAAAAAAAGTTGTGAAGTGAGGAAACCCGAGTAAAGCTCTAGTTGCATCATAGTTGCCTCAGGGGATAACTCTGAAGGGTTATTACTCTGAACAAATAATTAAACTGAGTGCATATTTTTAGGTTTTAAAAAGGATAAGGCTTTGGGAAACTTTAAGATACACAATATATGTAATTTAAGTTAAAAATAAACTAATCAGAAATGATAGATCTAATTAATAGTTGGATATAATTCATTACAAATTACAAAGGCAGGTGTGTAAATTTAAAAGAAAAGATTAAAAAAAAAACTTTAGGTTTAATGTGCTAGACAATAAAAACTTGGAGTAATGCATTTGATTAGCATCAGTTTTTGCTTGATTTACAAAGAACTCCGTATAAAATCTCAACATAAATGGAGCTTTACTATCAAACTCTGGTTTAAAAAAATAAAACTTAGGTCCACTCAACCAGCAGGTGGTGCTAAAGTCACACGGATTGTCTCCAAGATTAAAGTCACTGATATGTTATAGACTCCCTTAAACAGTATTCTGATGCACCTTTTTATTCACTTTAAGAAAATCTTAAAACTGATGTTGCCTGAAAAAAAAAAAAAAAAACCCTGCTACTGATGCAGCCGACTTCTTTATGCATTACTGTGTGTCTGTTACATTTGGCCTTTAAACACCAAGAGATTAAACGCATCCTAATCTCTGAAACGTGGGGAACGCTTATTAATGGTCAGAGTAGGAATTGGGTTAATATACATGTTAGAATGACTCCAAAATTAATTATAGCCAGAAACCTTGGTCCAGATATTGTCTCTGTACAACAGCAACCTTTGGCTTATTTTTTTAAGCAGAAAGATGCGTTTCCAGTAACACTAAAGCTCATGGGAAAATGGCAGGAATGAATTATTAAAGGAAAGCCAAAGACAAACATAACTATGGAAGAGGATCAGGGCCACTAAAAAAAAAGTTAACTGATTTTTAAATATTATTTCAGTTTAATATGGGAAAAAATTCAGAATTCTGACTTTTTTCTCAGAATTCTGATTTTTTTCTCAGATGGCTCAAACATGTTAGCATCAAGCCATATGTCTGTTTTAAAGACTAAACTAGCTCTCTTGTTTTAATCACCTTCTGCTCTTCCATTAATGAAATGGCCTCACCGGGGGCCCCTCGGGCAAACAAAAAGTTGCCTAATTCCGTAATTTTTCACCAATGTTTACTGGCCCTCTCAAACAACTCACATGTTTGTCAGTGAAGCTGAGTGCTCCCACATCTCTTCCTTCATGGTGCCCATCTACATTAAGATCCAAAATTCAGAATTAAGATCAAAGATTCAGAAAGTCAGAATTCTGAGATTAAAGTCAGAATTCTGTGATTAAAGTCAGAATTCTGACTTTTTTTTTCATGTTGTTGTGAAATAAATTTTTTAAATAAGTTAACTTTTTTGTTTTTTTTCAGTGGCCCTAATCCTTTTCCGTACATAACAGACAAGAATAATACAATAACTTTGATAAGAAATCCAAAAAATGCAGATCCCAAACAAATCCTGCCTGTTTTTCTGGACATGGGTAAGAATTTGTATGTTGCGCCTTTTCTCCACTAGGTGGCAGCAAAAGCCCGCGACTAATAATCTAAATTGTTCCACAACTTTCTGCTAAATTACCTTGCAACCCATGTGGAGTCTCACTCCTACTTAGTTTAAAGGTTGTGTTCAAGCAACTTTGAGTGAAAAACATAAGACAAACAACAAAAATAATAATAATAAAAAAATACAGTTTACCTATTAAAACCAAACAACAAACAGCTCAACACCATTTAAATTAATAATTAAACAACCAGCTTACGCAATTTCACGCGCAAATTTGAAGTTCGGTGAAAATAAATTATTATTCGTATGAGTTGATATATCTAATGAAAGATAACATTCTACCAGCAGAATTAAATCCATAAATACGCTTAGAGAGAATATAAACTGAATATTAAAACTTTGGCAGAGAGTATGTTTTATTCGTTATAATAACCAAAAAGCTGTTAACATAAGAAGAAATAAAATAATTTTAAAGCGCGCTTTTGGCCCTCTTTAACAGATGATGAAAAGA